GTCAGTAAGAAGTTCGGCAAAGTGAGACAGGTGGGCACTAGAGGGCTCAGGGAAGGGTCACCTACCTGCTGGAATAACCAAGTTTCAGTATGGGACAAAGGATCTGGTCTCACTGGTATAACTCAGTTGAATGCCAGCCCTACTCAGAATAGCACCCTTGAGGCCCAGGACACCAAGCAGTGGCCACTTTTATAATGACACTTTCTCGCTCCAGTTTCCAGACCGCCTCCTCTATTACCTGCAGGTCTGAGCTGAATAGCAGGTTGATAGGACTGAAGTAGGATGAGGCAGTTTGAATCTACAGAGAAATTCTGCATATATATAAAAAAGCACAGGCAGGATTGTCTCCGCGCCATATAATTTCAAAAAGCTGTTGGATCCCTTTTATCATTCCAAATTATTATTTTTAAAATTCTTTCTCTCTCTATATATATATGGCATAGATACTAGTACATGCTGTATAATAATAAACCAGGGCAATTTATATTTCTACCTGCTTCTTTGTGCGGGGAATCTTCCAACTCTTGTTTCTTAGTAGAACACATAATAAATTGTTGTGAACTAGTCACCCAGCTGCAATGGAGAACACCAGACTTTTCCCGCCTATTTTGATATACTTTGAATTCTCATTTTATATGGAATGTCCAGCCTCTCAATATTTGCTTGTCGTTTGCATTCATGAAGGAGAGGACCTCCATTCTCTCTCTCCTCAGGGGAGACCCCTGAGGCCAACTTAATTTGTGCTGCTATGGTTAGGTCAATGATCTCAATGGAATGGTCTCTCTCCTATGAAGCCAAGAGGACCAGGAGTTCAAGAACCATAATGCTGCAGGAAGATCTCCACCTACACAGCTCCCCCTGGGCAGATGGCCAGTCTCCTGCCTGGAGCTGGAAATCGTGTGTCCTCTACTTCCTTCTTCCCTAATTTTTTGTTTGTTTGTTTTTCCCCTGCCACCCTTACAGAGCCTACCTACCCAGAGAACCATGGAAAAGCAGAATCATTTGGCTGAGAAGAAAAAGAAGGTGAGCTGACGATGGAGAGGAGACAGAACAGCTAACTGATGTGCAGAGGTCACAGCGCTATTGAATGTAGGAGAGGGATTCAAGTCCAAGTCTGCTCTGCCACACCCTGCCAGGATGCCCATCTCTCCTGCATCCACCACTGATGCTTTAGACACCTGTTGGGTGTTTTCCAGCGCTAGTGTCAAGATTCTAGAGAGTAAGAGCCTGGCTCTGTTAGTGTTTGAAAAGAGTTCTGCTTGAAAGAAAACACAGTGGGGAAGAGTGGTTTTTGAGCTGCTGTGGGCCGAGGAGCGGACGTGCAGGCTCTGAAGCATCCCCTCAGGGAGAGGAGGCCAGAAGCCCCTCCTTCCACTTTTCAGGAGTCAGTTTAAGTATCTCAGGATCCAGTCCCCTGCAGTCTCCACCATCATCATCAGTCCCTACCTCCATCTTTGGGCTGAACTTTAGAGAGTATTTAGCAAGCAGTAGAAATGTACAGAACCTGAAATGTGAGGACTTTATTCTCTGTAAGAGGCACAAGGGTTGGGAAGCAACTTCGTGAAAGGGATCAATGCCCTACTGTCACATGGTCCCTTCTGGTCATGTGTGCTACAGAGTAAGGCAGCTGTTTAGAACATGGAGCTGGGCTCTTGCTTCACTTCTATTGCAGAGAGAAAGGCAGCTGTACTTGAGATCTGGCTCCCATTTCTTTACCCTTGTCCCTGTGACTTGTCTCCCAGGAGAACCCTGTCATGTTCTCTGAGGGCAATCTTTCTACTTCCTTTACCCTCACCCCAGGTCTACACTGGTGTATGGCATGGTGTAACCACTCTGGACACTGGTGGAATGAACAACAGAAACAGCTGGGTGGGGGGATGGGGTTTGACTGGGTGGACCCTCCACTCCACATGTTTTATTTCATTCAAGTTTCTGAGTCTCACTGCAATGCAGAATAGTACTAGCATGAAGCCCTTGGATGGGAGAGGACTCTCCGACATACCCAAGATCTCCAAGGTCTGTACTACTGGATTGAGAAAACCCCACCTCTGTATTTATCTGTTGTCTCTTGAGCCAATTTCCTTCATATTTCAGATTCTATCATGATAATATATTGGCTTCATATTAAGGAGAGGGGGGTGGGAGGGAAATCATGAGGGAGAGGAAGAAGATGAGAGAGAGATATACAGGGGCAAAGAGAAGAGAAAGAGGAAGGGAAAGTAAGAGAGAGGGAGATGGAAAGGAAGAAAAGGTGGTGAGAGTGGAGAAGACACCAAACAGGATCACTGGCAGTGAACAGCCTCCTCCATTTTCTCATTTGGAAGATGTTTGCTGCTCTCCATTTGACATATGGTAGAGCAGTGTGTGTGTGTGTGTGTGTGTGTGTGTGTGTGTGTGTGTGTGTGTGTGTGTAGAAAGAGAGAGGAGAGGAGGAGAAAGGAGATGAGAAGAGAGGAGAAGGGGAGAGAGAATTTTCCTGCATTGGCTGCAATCTAGTTACCCTTCTTTGATCATCACTTAGTCAACATTGATGATCTTCTTGAGTTTCATCCCCAGTCTCTCTGCTCTCTCTTGCATTCTTGCCATCAAGGTCAATAATTTCCCCTAATCCTTTTATTTCTACAGTCTGGAAACTTGAGGACAATGAGATAGCTGGAAGTCTGGAATTGAGCACCCAAGACTCTATTTTGATATTAGGATTTATCTTCATTGGAATGACTGATTCTTTCAATCACTCAGTCAACAGGCATCTTTTGAGGATCTACTATTAAGTGCTAACCACTGTACTGAATGTTAGTAAGACAAAGATGAAGGGTACTACACATGGTCTCAAAGACCTCTGAGTATAGTCTAGAAAGGGAATCTGATTGTCCTGTATGGTAGGTTTTTAAAAAGAAGTAAGTGAGTAAGAACAGCACCATGCACATGGTATTCAGGTAAGGGGTAAGTTTATTCATTGTTCCGGCTGGCACCAGGCCATGTTGGCCCTCCACATGGCTGGGAAAGGCCTGGGAATGAGAGAGAGCTAGGAAAGAGAGAGCTGAGAAAGAGAAGAGAGCTAGAAAAAGAGCACGTCTGGGCCTGGGCTAGGCCTTATGTAGGGTATGGGAGGAGAAAGGTGTGGCCACATCAAATTCAGATGTGATCTCAGCAGATGCAGATGTGACCTCTTCCAGGTGTGCCAGTTGCCTAGGTAACGCAGGTACTGGGCGGAGACTTTGCTGCGAGGAGGGTGGAGTCTTCTTGCCATCCAGGAGCGGACCTTACACTGTACAATGTGGCAAGTGGTAATTTCAACATCCACAGACGTATCAATAGAGACATAACATCTACAGGGATAGAGGTAAGAGTTCCCTAGAGGGAGGACCTAAAAGAGGCTATAGAGGAAGGTTGTTGGTAAATTTAGGAATCTCAGAATCTGAGAGAAGCCTGAAAGCCAGATATTTACAAATAGAGTCCTTGGGAGTTCAACACCTACTATGGGCAGCCTTGCTTTAGACATTTCCCATATATGTATGTGTATGTGTATGTGTGTGTGTGAGTGAATGTGTGTGTGCACATGTGTGTGCATGCATATGCGTGCATACTCCTTATTGGTCCCTCACTGAGGATTCTGAGGTTAAAATCCCATCTTGCCAAGATCACGTTGTAATGAAATGATGCAGAACTTCAACCCAGGTCCAGAAGGACTCACCCCCCCACCCCTCCCCCTGCAAAACCAAGTTAGCACCTAATATATCCATTCTTGTCTCTCCCTCAGGTTCTAGGCTCAACCAAAATCTCTCCATTTTAAGCAGCCCCCACTGTCCCTCTTCCCTCATGCAGCTTCACTGGAAAGATGGACATGAGAGGAGGACCTTAGGAAAGGTCAACAAAGGATCCAGAGCTCCAGGGCTGAGGCCAAGCCACACAATAAGAGGACCTCTAGAGCCATGGGTGAAGGGAGTCTGAATCTGCACTCTAACCCATCACCATGACCAGCTTCACAGACATAATGAAGAGGAAAAGCGGGATGGTATCTTGGTAGTATTTATCTAAAGGAAAATAGCCCCACTCTACCTATGCATAAGCTCAAGTCATACACAATTAATTGTGACAAATACAACCCAACCTTTCCTCTGCTTATTCCAAACCATCACCTGCTCCTTAAATGGACAAAGAAAACAGGTCTTGGCAACAACATGTAAGAAAATGAATGAAGGGTGTTAGTCATCAAATATCCATTGGGAGCCAGCAAGAGCTGAAAGAACATGTGTGATCTCAACCTGCGTCAAGAGACACCTAACATCCAGCCAGGGGGAGGGGACAACCTCATTTGCTCAGTGGTGCCCTGCTGCCATCTGGGAAAGGAAGAGAGCTAGCTCAGGTATGATATTCCAACATGGGAAAAATGGGAATCTCCACCTAGGAAACAATGTCTGAAAAGTATGGCGCACAAGCCAACTGAAGAAGCTGGGGTTATGTAGGTTGATTTGTAAAAGTTGCAAGTAATATTTTTGCTTGTTTTCCTGTTGTCAAATTCCTCAAGGGCTTCCTTGGAGAAAGAACATCCAATTCATTTTCTTTCTCTTTGGGATGGGGATGGGGGGAAAGGAAGAGACAAGAACACAGGCTTATAGTCTTATGGGTGAACATGTAATATGTCCAGAAATATGAACCAGGTTCTGCTTACTAAGAAAGCTATTAAGGACAATCTGCAAACAACATTACTAAATACTAGCTGGACTACAGGCGTACACTCGGATGTCCCTCAAAACTCCACTTCCAGGAGCATGGTCTGTCTCTTGCTGTCCCATCTTACTGAGAGACCAGAGGAGACAAGTTCTGATAACTCCACAGAAAACGAGGCTCCACATCCAACATGACTGAGCTCGCCAGACACCTCCTGGCACCCCCAACCTCCCAGCTCCTGTACCTCTTTGTTCCCATCCACCCCCTAATTCCCCTCTCCACCCTCTCCCCGCCCCCACCCTGGAAAATGGGCTGTAAGGATGACTTACCCTTCTTCTCAAAGTCCAACTTCTCCTCTCCTGCCCGGCCCAAAGTATCCAGGGTGTGGGTCACCTGGCTGTCGAATTCTTCCTCACGGGAGACGTGGTTGGATCTTCGGGGTGGCTCCTCTTCCTCCTCGTAGTCGTAATCATCCAGGATGGGGGTCTCCCGAATAGGTACCCCGATGACGGAGTTGTGCGCCTGCAGCCGGGAGGAGCGGAAGCTCTCCCGGGCCTGGGGACCCAGTAGCACCGATGGAATGTAGTGGATCTCATGCGTGGCTTCTGTGCTAGCGCTCTTCTGCGGGATTCGGCGGCGTTTCTGCCAGCGTCGCTGGGCGTACAGAGCCACGGTGAACACCAGCAGCAGCAGCAACAGAGCGATCAGGCCACCCTGGGGGCAGAAAGCAAGGAGGACAGACAAATGGACAAGTGCTCTTTGTGCTGGAGAACCAAAGGGGGATTTTCCCCTACCCATCATGCTCAGCCTTGAGCCCTGTGTTTGACACTTTTAGGAAACCCCCAGTCATGCTTTTCAAGCCAGAGACGTTGGCCTTCCAAGCCTAGTATTTTATCAACAAAATGGGGCAAAGTACTTGACTTTTCTGAGCCTTGATTCTCATGGTGCAGGCTCTGTACTGACCCAGGCTTTCGCAGCCATACTCCTCTTTCTTCACAGGCCGCATTTTTCTTACTGCATTAGCAGCAGGCAAACAGAAAAGCCAGAACAGAGCTCAGCACTGGTGGCTCATACCTGTAATCCTAGCTACTCAAGCTGCAATCTGAAGATTACAGTTCGAAGCAAGTTCGGGTAAGAAGGTCTGGGAGACTCTTCTCTCCAATTAAACACCAGAAAACTGGAAGTGGGGCTGTAGGTCAAAGTGGTCGAATATCAGCCTAGAGCAAAAAAAAACTCAAGGACAGAGCCCAGGCCAAAGGTTCAAATCCCATGACCAACAAGGACAAAGCCCAGGTGGAAAGGGAAAGGGAAAAGGAAAGGAGAAATAATCCATCAGGGTGAGCCAGTCCCGAACACCAACTCTCCCAGCATAAAGCAGGAACTAACATAGGCCCTGAGAGTGGAGAATAAAGCTTCAGTGTAGATCAAGAGTAGATCAAGGCCAGGATGCAGGAAGAGAAAGTTGCAGATTTCCAGAAAGCAAGTTATAAAGGGGCCAAAGTTCACGGGGTGGCAAACTGAGGCCCCAGGACTGCATGATATCCAGTCCAATTGGGGATGTGCTCATTCCAGGGCTGCCCCCAAACAAACAAGCCTGCAGACCAGCTGAGAGTCCTGGAGAATAAAAATGTCAATCCATTGCCTGGAGGGCATGCATTTCTAAGAGAGAGTAAACTGTGGAAGTGTGAAATGATTCCTTTACCTCCTCCTTAGGAGTAGAAGACTTTTTACAAAGCTGTGAGGTTATGGAGGATGGGAGAGGAGAGGACAGTGCCTATTCCTTCTGAGGTGTTCCTTCCATGAGTCTTTCTTGACAGGATCTGCCTCCTCTTCCTGTTCAGTGATTGACAGTGCGTTTCCGACTCCCAGCACAGCCCGAGCAGGGTGAGTGCAGGCCACGTCAAGGGTAGAGTGGTATGACAAGGAAAACACAAATCTGGGGCATGTGAATCCCTGCCTCTCTGCTTGCTGTTGGCCGTGACAAGTGTACTACAATATTTTCCTTTCTAAGGCTCCAGCAGGCTCCCTTTAAAAGGAAGCCGACTGTTCTCAATGTGAAAAGTTCTCTTAAGGATTAAACAAGACAACAGAAGATCTGGATAGAGAGTCTGACACCACAAATATCTGCCAACACCAGCCTCTTTCTTTTAGTTTTCCTATCCCTCTATCCTAAACCAAAGTATTTTAACCCAACTCCTTGGATTAAATCTTTTCCCTGACTCCCTAGGGTGGCAGAATAATATCCATACTCCCCATTTTTGGATCCAAGTCCCTTTAACACCCCTGGGTATTAAAGGTAGCCTCACCTGGGCTACCTGGCTACACCAGCCTGGAGCCACGCTCGATGGTTAGCAGGCTCCTAAAGTAGGGTTTGCTCTTGCCTCCTTTTCTTCCTGCTCCCTCAGCCTGGATCTTTCTTATATTAGGGATCACCAGTATCCTTCTTGGTTTAAACAGTGGCCTTCCTGGGATCTCTGAAGGTAGTTGTATTTGGGAATTGTGCCTTTTCAAATGTAATTGGTTGATATGAAGTCATACTGGATTAGAGTGAGCACTACATCCAATGGCTTACACCTGTATAATGAGCGGAGAGGACAGAGGGACACACAGGCACAGACACAGTCATGTGGGGCTGGACACAGCGATTCCAATGATATATTCACAAAGCAAGGGGTGCCAGTGACATTCCAGGCTAGGACAGCTTGTCCCTCTGAGCTACCAGAAAAAGAAAAAAAAAAAACAGCCTGTTGTCATTATGGTTTTGGACTTCTATCTTCCTGAGCTGTGAGACAAAGGATTGTTTGTTTGTTGTTGTTGTTGTTGTAGTTTGTCAGATATCGAGCTGACAGCAGCCCCAAGAAGTTCATCTCAACCCAGCCATCCCTCTCAGCATGTTGATCCATGTCTTGAGGAGTATCTTCACCTCTTCAATTTGGGGGTGGTGCTGTCCTCTTTTCTTATGACACCCCCCAATGATTTTTTTTAATTTTAATTTATTTATTTTTGTTGGTTGTGGGGCTTGAACTCTGGGCCTAGGCGCGGTCGTTCAGCTCTTCAGCTCAAGGCTAGCACTCTACCATCTGAGCCACAGTACCACTTCCAAATACCACCCCTCTCCACCCCATGTTACCATGGTTTTGTTGCTGTGATCCAATCATCTGGCTGATGATCGGATTTTTCCCACTCCAGGGCCTAAGCTGCTATTTATTCAGCTAAGATGCACGACTTCCTCTCAGAGAAGATACATAATAAACCTTCAGGTGCCTACAATTGTAACTAGATTTGCAAGAGAAATGCAAAGAAAAGTCCTTATATCATCTCCAGCCCGTGTATTCACAGGGACCCAGATCACACCTTCTATGACATGTCTTTCCTATTCTGCTGATTTCTTTTTCCCAGCTCTCATACCCATGCCAATTTCCTTACACATACAATATCAAAATTGGAAAGTTGTAGAGAATTTCAGAAAAAGCACCCTGAGCTATCCCACCAAGAGAGCCTTTGGAAAAAGTCAAACTTTGAATGCCATTCAGCCTGGCCTCATTTTTATCTTATTATTTTTTTCCCTTCACGTTAAAATGCAGGCATAGGAGAAGGAACCAGAGAAAAGAAAGAAAAGGATAATGTGAGAAATGCTTTATTTGACAATGTGTCATTCGGAAACTGATTATTTCTGTCTCCGGCCTTTTTAATATTCCCTCACAACGGCCAAGCCGCAAGGGGATTTGGTATTCTAAGACTGGATTTATAATACTCTGTTCAGCAGTGATAAGAACATGGGCCTTTAATCCTCAGAGCTGTGAACATGCATATTCTCCCAAGTAATGTCCTTCCCTTCTTGCCACTTCTTTCTGGTCCCTGGCAGCCAGAGGTGGACTGGTGATCCATTGGACATTGTACTTGGCCAATTGCCTAGTAATGGAGCTAGTAGAGAAGGGGGCTGGGAACTCCACCTTCTCTCAGCAGTCTCCTTTCAGGCCTCAAAATATGCTGGAGGGATTATCAGGAAAACAGTCCAGACCTTTAGTGTTACAGATAAGGAAACTGAGGCTTACAGACTGCAAATGATATGGACAAATCAGAGGATCTCTTAGAGAGATTTTTGGAGGCAGAGCAGGCCACCAGTGCCCTCCAAGCTGCCAAAAAGGGTGAATCATGACAATCTGATCTGCAAAGTAGCTTCTATGACTTTGCACTTTGCTCAGTTCTATGACTATCCTATGCTCCACTTTTCAGTGCCTCTTATGATTTTAATGCACATTGAATGATCTCATAGGCTTTATCTCCCCTGTCTTGATTTTCAATCCATCCTATCTACTGTCACTAAAGCTCAGCTAGGAGGGATCCTTTCCTCACAGATCAGCTGGGAGTCATGCACTTGAGTTGAAGTTCTCATCAAGCAGACTTCCATCTTTATGAATAACCTGGCCTCAAATGAATGCTTCCCAGCTACTCAGAAGGATCTGGAAAGTTTTTTTTGTTTTTACTGTGAAAATACCGTACAGAGGGGTTACAATTACTTAGGCAAGATAATGAGTACATTTCTTTTTTTGGGGGGAGGGGGTCTGGTCATGGGGCCTGAACAATGGGCCTGGGCGCTCTCCCTCAGCTCTTCAGCTCAAGGCTAGCGCTCTACCACTTGAGCCACAGCTTTTTCTTTTTGCTTATGTGGTGCTGAGGAATCGAACCCAGGGCCTCATGCATGCAAGGCAAGGGCTCTACCACTGAGTCACCTTCCCAGCCCCTAATGAGTACATTCCTTATCAAGCATTGTTGCCTCCTCCTTTGTTTCCCCTTCCCATCTCTTCCCATCTCTCCCTCCTCCCCCCCCACCCCTCACCCCCAGCCAAAGTAGTAAAGTTCATTTTTCGACATAATGTTTTGTACCTCTCATTGTTGCAATGGGTCCACCTGTATCCCTATTTAACATTTGTTTTTTCCTGTCCCCTCCACAAATTATACCAACATCAAATACAGTGAGAGCAGGGGTTATACCATGGGGGAGGGACATACAAAGCAACAAAGAAATCACCTTATAAATATATTAGAAACAATTAGAAAACCATTTGAATACATATCTTAGGGTTCATTTCCCTAACATCAACTTATCTGACCTTTTCTGCTTGACTAAGACATATACTAGTTATTGCAAATAAGGGAAACCATGGGACCTATGTTTCTTTGGGCCTGGCTTACTTCACTTTCCATTTCCTAACAACTGGGGCAATGTCATTCTTTCTGATGGAGGCATAGAATTCCATTGTGTATCTTTACCACATTTTCTTGATCCATTCCTCTACTGAGGGTTATCTGGGTTGCTTCCATATCTTAGTTATGGTAAATAATGCTGCAATAAACATAGTTGTGCTGGTAGCTTTAGTATGGTCTTGGTTGTGATCATTTGGGTAAATGCCCAAAAGTGGTATTGCTGGGTCATAGGGGAGCTCTATGTGGATGGAGTCTTTTGAGGAATCTCCATACTGCTTTCCAAAGTGGTTGAACAAGTTTACACTCCCACCAACAATGCAGTAAGATTCCCTTCTGGTCACATCCCCTCCAGTATCTGTTGTTATTAGAGTTCTTAATTATAGCCATTCTAACTGGGGTGAGGTAGAATCTCAATGTTTTGATTTGCATTTCTTTTATGGGTAGGGAAGTTGAGCATTTCTGTGTCTTTTGGCCATCCTTCTTTCCTCTTCAGAGAAGTTTCTCTT